ACCCGTGTTCCCGTGGCCACTGCCTGGCACCGCCGGCTCCCTTGGTTTCCAGGCTGCTTTGCAGCTCAAGGTGATGTTAGGAAACATCTCCTCTTTAAAGTTGAACTTTGTACTTCTGTAGCCACTGGTGTGCGTGGGGTGACCATCCTGGAGCTGTCCCTGCTCTGGGACAGGGTGCCAGGGCTTGTCCTAATCAAACAGCCTCTTCCCAGCTTGGGAAATAGCAGGAGAGCAGGGCAAGGGCTGCAGGGCCACCCAGGAGTCCTAGTCCTCAAATCACCAGTGAAACCACCCTGCTCTGAGGTTTTTTTCCTGGTTTTATTTTGAGTTATCAACCAGTAGCAGCTTCTGGGGGCCAGGGGAGCCTCCTTCCCCCCCCAGAGAAGATGACCAGGGGTGGTTTTCTCTTCCAGAGGATTTACTACCTCTCCCTGGAGTTCTACATGGGGCGGACACTGCAGAACACCATGATTAACCTGGGGCTGCAAAATGCCTGTGATGAGGCTGTGTACCAGGTGAGCATCCCAGGAGGGTTCAGGGCCTGGACTGGGAGGGCTCAGTGTTCTCCAGCTCCTGGGGATGTCCATGTTTATCATGCTGACTGCAAACTGCTCCCTGAGCCAAAGGCGATGCCTTTGGGAATAAATGCTCCAAGAGCTGCTCTTGAAGGGCCTGGAGCTGCCCAGCCTGGCTGCTGTGTGCTGAGGGATGTGGTAGGATCCCATCTCCAACCTATAAATTGGAAGGAAACTGGTGGCTCTGTGGATGAGGTTGTTAATATTCATAATCAGGGAGAGGAGGAATAAAACCTTGGCCTAACTCAACCCCAACCAGGCACTGGCACCTGGTGGCACTGGGGTTATCTAAGGGTTTTGGGTGGCTCCTTTCCTCCCCACCTTTCACCTCCTGTGCTAAGTACCATCAGACACAGCTGGGGTGGTTGCACAAGAACAGGAAGGGCTTTTGTGCAGACACATTCAAAGGAAAGGAATGTACTTTTAGGGGGTTTCATTTTTTATCCCCACTTGTTGTGACTGTGAGACGTCAGGGGGACGTCGGACCAGGGATTTCCATAGGAAAAGGAGGCTCAGCTGAGCCACCTGAGGAGCTTTGCATAGGCAAAACCTCTTCCCTTCCTCCCACACATCCTGGGCTGGAAACTTTAAATTTCCTGGAAAAGTGGTGTAGGTGCTTCTCACCTTAAAGGGCAATGCCTGGAGTCAGGAGGATGAGCACCCAGGTGCCTGTCCCAAGGGATGAGGGTGCTGGGGGAGCAGGAATATGCCACCCAGGTACCTTCCTGAGGGGATGGGGGTGCTGGGGGAGCAGGAACACCACATCTGCCCCTGTGTGGGGCTGCAGCCATGGAGTGAGGGAGCAGGTCTGGGAATAACCCCTCAGAGCCCTTGGAAAGGTCTGGGACCCCTGAGAGCAGCACCCTGGTTATAGCTGGGTGGTCTCCATGCCCGGAGCTTGCCCATGGTATATATGGTCAAGGGTTTGAGTGTCCCTTGTAAAAGCTGGTGGAGAGGCTTTAACCACCAGAGCTGGTCCTGCCGTGGCGCAGAGCTGTAGGCAGGGGGGAGAGAAGCTGCTTTGGGTGCAAATCACCTGCAGGGATGGGTCTTATGGAATTGGGTGCCTTTCCACCCTTCCTGGAGCCCACCTACAAGGGCATGTGTGCCAACAGTGCCTCCCTTCCACGGGGCTGGGTGACCTGAGAGTCTCCAGCCCATTGCCTTCTTGTCTGTAGCTGGGGCTGGACATGGAAGAGCTGGAGGAAATCGAGGAGGATGCTGGTCTGGGCAATGGAGGGCTCGGCAGGCTGGCTGGTGAGTGAGCCTCAGGTGGTCTCAGTGCCTGGGTGGTGGGGCACAGACACTGTTGGGGGGTTTATTGCTCCAGCCTTTCCAGCATGGAGCGAGAGGTGCTGGGCAGCAGCTGCTGGCCTGGCTCATGTGCCCATGGGGCTGCTGCTTGTGGCCATCATCCTAGGGCTCCTGGGGAAGCACAGCTGACTGCTCTCCTCTCTCTGTCAGCCTGCTTCCTTGACTCCATGGCCACATTGGGGCTGGCAGCCTATGGCTACGGCATCCGCTATGAGTATGGAATCTTCAACCAGAAGATCCGGGATGGGTGGCAGGTATGGACCGAGGCACTGTCCCCTGGCATTGCCAGAGCTCCAAATTCACCTCCCACAGAGGTACAGACACTCTCTCTTAGCTTGGAGGCTGCGCTGTGATCTTTAAAACTTGTCAGCTGTTTTCTTGAACAAGTTTAACTTCTTATACCAGTACAAGCACAAAGCATCCATCCCTCATCCCCATCCCCAGTGTGCCCTGCTCAGGGTCACCCTGAGAACTGCTCCATGGAGCAGGTAAGGCTGGAGCAGTCTTGTCCCTACTCCTTGTGGAGAAAGTGTGGAAATGGCTGGTTTGGAAATGCAATGTTAGCAACGCCCTAAGAGAAACATTGGTTTTGTCCCCATCCCCCTCTGACAGGGAGACTCCAAGGTTCAGGGTGGTTGGGGTAGATCTCTTCCTCCAGGCTCACCTTCCAGTGCTTAAATTCAGATTGAGGACAGACAAACCCCAAAGCATCATTCCTTTTGCCATGAGCAGCTGGAGCCTTTCCCAGCCATCCTCCAGCTGGGGAGGTCCCCAGGGCTGGCTGGCCCTGTGACTGCTCTCCCTCCCTCTGGCAGGTGGAAGAAGCTGATGACTGGCTCCGACATGGCAATCCCTGGGAGAAGGCCCGTCCTGAGTACATGCTGCCTGTGCACTTCTACGGCCGAGTGGAGCACTCTGCCTCTGGTGCCAAGTGGATTGACACCCAGGTCAGTGTGTGGGGAACCCTCCTTGTATGGCTTGACCCTGTGAGAGGCCTGGGGGGGTCTCTCACACCCCGGGAATGGGTCCTGCAGGGTTGTGCTGGGGTGGAAAAGGCAGTGGTGGAACAAACTGGGGAGGAGATGGATGTAGGGATGGGGACAGGTTACTCCACATCTGCAGGCAACCTCCTCATCCCTGAGAGTGTTAAAGGCCAGGTTGGATGGGGCTTGGAGCAACCTGGGCTACTGGAAAGTGTCCCTGCCCATGGCAAGGGGTGAGATGAGATGAGATGAGCTTTAAGGTCTTTCCAACCCAGACCATTCTAGGATTCTATGAAGTACCCAAAGTCAGTTCCAGCAGGTCTGTGTGCAGTGCACAGCCCAGCACAACAGCTTAAGTTAAGCTCCTCATGAGCTCCTCTCCATCCCCTGAGCACTTCTGGCAAACACCAGCCACCAGGCAGAGCCAGGGCAGCTGCAGTGTCCCCAGAGCAGGGCTTGGGGGTACCAAGTACAACCCTGTGAAGATGGACACAACCCTGAGCAGGAGGGTCTGTGGGATGGGGGAGCTCCATGGAGGGACCTCAACCCAACTCCAGCTGCTCTGCTGATGTCCTAGGTGGTGCTGGCACTGCCCTATGACACCCCTGTGCCCGGGTACATGAACAACACTGTCAACACCATGCGCCTGTGGTCGGCTCGGGCTCCCAATGACTTCAACCTGCGTGACTGTAAGTGGGTGCTGGTGATGGGCAGCATGGGCTGGAGGGGAGTCCTGGGCCCACCTTATACCTCTGCTCCTCCCCAGTCAATGTTGGAGACTACATCCAGGCCGTGCTGGACAGAAACCTGGCAGAGAACATCTCCCGTGTCCTCTATCCCAATGACAATGTGAGTCAGGATGTGGTAGGGGAGGGGAGATGGTTTAGGGGTGGCTAACAGTGCACAGATGAGTGGGGAGTAGAGCAGCCTCTCTCTCCAGGGGCTTTTAGTTGTGTTTCAAGCCTCCTGCAGTGCTTGGGTGAGGATTGCTGCCCCTCACCAGGATGAGTCTGTTGCCCTGAGCACAGATTTGCCCAGGAGGGAGTGTTGGTGAGCATGTCCTGCTGCAGAAAGGTTCTGTGAGTCTCAAAATACAGCATGAAAGCAAACTGCTGAACTCTGCTGGTGTTTCTCTTTGCCCTCAAATTGCCTTTTGCCTCAAATTGCCCTTTGCACCCCAACCCTCTTGCTGTGGGTGTTCTTGCTGTGCTGCACGCTGGCATGGTGTGATGGGGTGTGCAACCCTTGCCCTGGCCACAAACCAAGCTGTGGAGCAGGGGAAGAAGGTGAACTGTGGCTCTCCTTGCTCTATGGCCCATTTTAGCAAGGGCTTGATGGTTGTTTTTTTTCCCCATTTAATCCTCCTCCAGCCTTCCCAGCTGGTGGGGAGGGCTGAAGGCACCACAGCTGTGGTGGTGAGGTTGTCTCCTGCAGCTCCTCTTTTGCAGGCCAACAGGCTGATGTTTTGTGCTGCATGAACAATGGTTTAATTCTCTTAGAAATAGCTCCTGGGTGTTACAGCTCCTATGACTTCCCTTCCTGTTGTCCCAGTCCCTTTCCTTGCAGCTAAAATCTTCAAACCAGGAAGAACAGGTTTTGATGATGCTTGGGGGTGGGAGATCTCATAGCACCTTCCAATATCTTGAAGGGGCTCCAGGGAAGCTGCAGAGGGACTCTTGGTTAGGAACTGCAGGGACATGACAAGGAGTAATGGGGATAAATGGAAAGAGGGGAAATGTAGATTAGATCTTAAGATCATCCTGTGAGGATGGTGAGACACTGACACAAGTTGCCCAGGGAGGCTGTGGCTGCCCCAGCCCTGGCAGTGTTCACAGCCAGGTTGGCTAAAGCCTTGAGCAACCTGCTCTGGTGGGAGGTGTCCCTGCCCAGGGCAGGGGGTTGGCACTTGGATGATCTCTAAGCTCCATTCCAACCCTTAACATACTATGATTCTATGATTTAACCTGTTTGTACCAGCATATCTCAACTCCCTGTGCTGAAATCTGGGAGAGAAAAATATGTTGGGTTAGAGCTGCTGCCAAAACCAGCACTGGGGGGAACCCAGACCCCAGCATGGGTCCCTGGGTGCAGGGAGCACTGGGAAGTGCAGTGAATCCTGCAGGAATTCTGCAGTTCCCTGCTGCTCTGCCCACAGTTCTTCGAGGGGAAGGAGCTGCGGCTGAAGCAGGAGTACTTTGTCGTGGCTGGCACTCTCCAGGACATCATCCGCCGCTTCAAAGCCTCCAAATTCGGGAGCACAGACAGTGTCCGGACGGTGTTTGATTCCTTCCCCGACCAGGTATGAGCCACAGCTGCTCTGACATGCACCTCGGAGCTTGTTTGTGTGCTGGAGAGATTTTAGGGCCCTCCATGGGTGCCCGTGCCCAGATGACAAGGGCTGTGGAATGCCCAATGTCCCTGCTGTGTCCTCACGTGCCACCCTGCTCTCCCCACAGGTTGCCATCCAGCTGAATGACACACACCCTGCCATGGCCATCCCTGAGCTGATGAGGATTTTTGTGGACATTGAGAAGCTGCCATGGGATACGGTAGGGAGACCCAACCTGGCCCCTGGATCTCCTCTGCTTGCACCCACCTATCTATGGTGGAGGAGCTGAGGAACCAGTTCTGTGGCTGCTGGGAGTCATGTGGAGCAGTCAGGTTGGGTTTAACTGGGATGGACTGGGAGGAGCTGGCTAGGTTGTGCTGCTGGCCATGGTGGGAGGACCATGGGTGGGTGCCTTGCCACTCAGCACCGGCTGTCCCCATGGCAGGCCTGGGACATCACCAAACAAACCTTTGCCTACACCAACCACACGGTGCTGCCCGAGGCCCTGGAGCGCTGGCCAGTGGACCTGGTGGAGAAGCTGCTCCCCAGACACCTGCAAATCATCTATGAGATCAACCAGAGACACCTGGATGTGAGTGCCTGGAGAGGAGGACAGGGATGTACTGTCAGGATGAGGGGGATGCACAAACTGGGTGTGTGGCCAGCTGGTTCCAGCTGCTAATTTGGGATGCTGATGTGTAAGAAAGCCATTTCCCACAGCTTGTTGCAGTCCTGCAGAGAGTGGTTGTTTCAAAGACTTCACCCACTGCTCCAGAGACTTCCCCTTCGGTACCTTTTTGGTGGCTAAATGCTAAAGTCATCCTGGGAAAGATGAGGTTGGGAGTGCAGAGGAGATAGGTTTGACGTCCTGGTCTGGCAGCACAAGGCTTTTGCCAAAAGGGCCTCACTGGCCAAGTGTGTGCCCACAAGTCTTTCTCCATGGAGAATTGGGAGGTCCTCCTGTCTACAGACATCTGTGTTGGGAAAGGGCAGCCTTTGGAGGGGATTTGCACCATGACAACAGAGTAAAAGCCACTGCTCTGGCTGGTGAAAAATGCACTGGGGACACTGCCATGGCCTCCTCCTTGTGAGCCATGGGGTGGGACACCCCTTAATGCCACCACCACTCACCACCTCTCCGTCTCCACCGGCAGCACATTGCATCCCTCTTCCCTAACGACGTGGACCGGCTGCGGAGGATGTCCCTAATCGAGGAGGGAGGCATCAAGAGGATCAACATGGCCCATCTCTGCATCGTGGGCTCCCACGCCGTCAACGGCGTGGCCAAGATCCACTCCGAAATCGTCAAGACTCAAGTGTAAGCATGGGGAAGGAGGAGGTGGTGGGCCACCCTCACCTTGGTGGTGGTGGTGGCAGGTGGGTGAGGCTGAAGCTGACCCATCCTTATCACAGTTTTGAGGACTTCGCGGCACTGGAGCCAGAGAAGTTTCAGAACAAGACCAATGGCATCACCCCACGGCGTTGGCTCCTGCTCTGCAACCCAGGGCTGGCAGAGCTTATTGCAGAGGTAATGGTGCAGGGGGAATGTGCTGGTCCCCCCAACCCTTCCATCCTGACCCCAGGGATGCTGCTCCTGGGGTTGTCATGTGAAACTCAACCAATTACATCTTGTAAATGGTTGAGGTGAGGGTCAAGGAAGGTGATTCTCCCTCTGCTCCGCTCTGGTGAGATCCCACCTGCAGTGCTGCCTCCAGCTCTGGGGTTCCCAACATCAGAAGGATGTGGAGCTGATAGAGGGAGGCCATAGGCTCCAAGGACTGGAGCACCTCTGTAATGGAGACAGGCTGGGAGAGCTGGAGGTGTTCAGCCTGGAGAAGAGAAGCTCTAGGGAGAACTTAGAGCCTCTTCCAGTGCCTAAAGGGGCTCCAAGAGAGCTGCAGAGGGATTTGGGACAAGAGCTTGGAGGGACAGGACACAGGGAATGGCTTCCCACTGCCAGAGGGCAAGATTAGATGGGATATTGGGAAGGAATTCTTTGCTGTGAGAGTGCTGAGGCACTAGCACAGGTTGCAGAGAAGCTGTGGCTGCCTCATCCCTGCGACTTTTCCAGGCCAGGTTGGATGGAGCAGCCTGGGTTAGTGGAAGGTGTCCCTGCCCATGGCAGGGGGTTGGAAGGGGGTGGTCTTGAAGACCCAACCCAAACCATCCCACCATCAGCACATGCCTGTGCTCCTGTTGCAGAAAATTGGGGAGGACTACGTGCGGGACCTGAGCCAGCTGACCAAGCTGCACGAGTTTGTGGACGATGACCTCTTCATCCGGGAGATTGCCAAAGTGAAGCAGGTGAGGGGTGTGGACAGAGAGGACACAGGCATGGGGAGCAGAGGCTGAGGGCTGACACGCTCCCTGCCCTCTCCCAGGAGAACAAGGTGAAGTTTGCGCTGTACCTGGAGAAGGAGTACAAAGTGAAGATCAACCCTTCCTCCATGTTCGATGTGCACGTGAAGAGGATCCACGAGTACAAGCGGCAGCTGATGAACTGCCTGCACATCATCACCATGTACAACCGTAAGCCACCATGTGCCCTGAGGGGACAGGCTGTCCCAGGGGTGCAGGAGCACCCCTGTCCCCCTATCCTCTGGTGACATGCTGTTGTGTTCCCCAGGCATCAGGAGGGATCCCTCAAAGCTGTTTGTGCCAAGGACAGTGATCATTGGGGGCAAGGTAAGATTGGTTAGGAGACATTTTGGAGGAAGTCCTTGAAAGTGCTCTTGGGGCTGTGGGTGGATCTGTCTCATGGGCCATGTCTCTATATCTGCCTAAAAGGAGGTTGGAGCCAGGTTGGGGGTTGGTCTCTTCTCCCAGGTAATGAGTGACAAGACAAGAGCGAACAGTCTCAAGATGTGCCAGGGAAAGTTTAGATTGGATATAAGGAAAAATTTCTTCACCAAAAGGGTTGTCAGGCATTGGCACAGGCTGCCCAGGGCAGTGGTGGAGTCACCACCCCTGAGAGAATTTGAAGGACTTGTAGATGTGGCACTTGGGAACATGCACTAGTGGTGGGTTTGGCAGTTCTGGGGGAATCATTGGACTTCATCTTAGAGGGCTTTTCCAATTTAAACAATTCCATGATTCTGTGTCCATGAAGTTCTCCAGGAAGCACTGGAGTAGCACTGGTTGGCTTCAACCCAAGCAAGGCACCAAGTTTTGGGGGCCCTTGGACAACCATATGCTGCCTGTGGTCATGAAAGCCAAAAACATGGTGGTGCAACATGTGTTGGATGAGGTTTATGGGAGCAGGGCTGAGTGGGTTCTTCCCTGGACATGTGGGAGCTGGGTGCACCTCACCTGCCCCTGGCACCAGCCCTCCAGGCTCACCTGTGACTTTTCTCCTAGGCTGCCCCAGGATATCACATGGCTAAAATGATCATCAAACTCATTAATGCAGTGGCTCAGGTGGTAAACAATGACCCCATGGTGGGGAGCAAACTGAAGGTCATCTTCCTGGAGAACTACAGGGTCTCACTGGCAGAGAAAGGTACCTGACACGGGGCACTTGGTGGGGAAGAGATGGTTCAGGAGTTACAGCAGAGTGGCAGGTTAATGGGACTTGATGATCCTATGATCTGACTCATGGCTGTCCCCCAGCCATGAGGCTCCATCACTGCCAGACAGCAGATCTAACATTCTTTGGCATGAGATGACACATTGGCTGGTCACCATGACTCCTCATGTCCATGTGTTTTGTTGGCAGTGATCCCTGCTACCGACCTGTCAGAGCAGATCTCCACAGCAGGCACCGAGGCATCAGGCACAGGGAACATGAAGTTCATGCTGAATGGGGCTCTGACCATTGGCACCATGGATGGAGCCAACGTGGAAATGGCTGAGGAGGCTGGAGAGGAAAACCTATTCATCTTTGGCATGAGGGTGGAGGATGTCACAGAGCTGGACAGGAAAGGGTGAGGGCTGGGGACACCAGGGGGGTGCCACCACAGGTACCTGGGGCAGCACCATCTCCTCTCACCCCTTCCCTCCAGGTACAATGCCCAGCTGTACTACGACCGACTCCCTGAGTTGAAACAAGCTGTTGACCAGATTAAGAGTGGCTTCTTCTCCCCAAAAGACCCCAATCTCTTCAACGATGTGGTCAACATGCTTTTCCACCATGACAGGTGAGGCCTGTGGTGATCTCTCCCATGCAGGGCAGCCCTTGGCACCAACCATCTCCAGCCTTTTCTGGCTCTGATGACCACATCAGGGTGGTGGGACCACACTGCACATGGACAATGCTCCCCAGGTGCAGACTCTCCATGGACAGCCTTTCATGCTTGCCACATTAAGGCTTTTGGGTGCACAGCCCTTCTGAATGATACCTGCTTTTAGGTATCTCAAGGGCTTTCCCAGCCAGAGCACTGAGCAGCCATGGGTATTGGCACCAGAAATGTTTTCCCAGTGAGCTGGCACAGGGTGTGCACTCTCAGGGCCTTGTACAAACAGGGCTTGGGGAAAGGGAATTTGGCTGGAGAATTTGTGTGGGAGGAAGTCCCAGATCAGACAGCTGAAGCCACGAGCCACCACAATGCTCCCACCTTCCCATTTCTCCTGCTGTTGAATCCTCCTTTCTTCCCTGCTGCAGGTTTAAAGTCTTTGCAGACTATGAGGCTTATGTCAAGTGCCAGGAGAAGGTCAGCGAGCTGTACCTGGTGAGTGCCAGCCTGGGGATGAGGCAGGGAACTGTGCTGGGACACAACATCCCATCCCAGAGCAGGGGTCTGGTGGGGCTGTGCACCACAGGATGAGTTAGGTTGGAAGGGAGCTGTGCTGGGACACAACATCCCATCCCAGAGCAGGGGTCTGGTGGGGCTGTGCACCACAGGATGAGTTAGGTTGGAAGGGAGCTGTGCTGGGACACAACATCCCATCCCAGAGCAGGGGTCTGGTGGGGCTGTGCACCACAGGATGAGTTAGGTTGGAAGGGAGCTGTGCTGGGACACAACATCCCATCCCAGAGCAGGGGTCTGGTGGGGCTGTGCACCACAGGATGAGTTAGGTTGGAAGGGAGCTGTGCTGGGACACAACATCCCATCCCAGAGCAGGGGTCTGGTGGGGCTGTGCACCATAGGATTAGTTAGGTTGGAAGGGACCACAGTGGATCATCTGGTCCAACCTCCCAACACCACATGGTGTCCTGTGATGCTGCAAGGGGTCCCTGGTTGAAAGCTGCTCTCAGGACCAACATGGAACCACTGTTGTACCACTCTCCTTACAGAACTCCAAGGCATGGACCAAGATGGTCATCAAGAACATCGCAGCAGCCGGCAAGTTCTCCAGTGACCGCACCATCAAGGAGTATGCCCGGGACATCTGGCACGTGGAACCCTCTGACCTGAAGATCCCACCACCCAACGAGCCCAGGGATGCAGCCCAGGACAAGACCCCCAACGGCACAGCGGCGTAGGGGCACGGAGCGGCGCCGGAGCCAGGGGACGCAAGCACATGCGCTGTAAAATTCTCTGCTGTCTAGTGTCTGTGTTTGCTGCTGCTTTCCTATGGATTGGGGAAGGGGTGGGATTTTTATAACCTAAGTGTCATGTGGAAAGCAAAACCACGTTGCCCTGTTGCTTGCATTAGGTGCTAAAAATAAAAGTGCCATTGGAGTCCAAGGGGCTGTTTGCTGAAGGCTAAAATTAGGGACTGGACTTGCTTCCACCAGTGCAGAAAGAGGGTTGGTCAGGGTTGGGGTGGGCAGCACAGCTGGATACAGCTGGCTGAGGCCTTGCAGGTGTGGCTGAAACAAGGTGTGAGGGTGCAGCTCATGCCAGCAGTGCCAGGAGGGGGTTAAGGGGTGTTTGAAGTCAACCCTGTGTACCCCCACCACTGCCCCATGCGATGTTCCTGGTCATGGCTCTGGTCCTGTGCTGACCCAGACCACGCACTGTCTCCATGCTTCAAGTAGCCTGCAGCATCCTCGAGGCAGTGGGTGAGTTAAAAGTTTCTCAGTAGTTTTTATTACTTACAGCAGTAAGTTCAGTGCCATGCAGGGGTCCTGGAGTGGGTTTGGGGGGGAGCATGTGGGCGCTGCACGCAGCAGCTGGCATCACTTGATGTTTAAGAAGTCTCTGCAACAAGATGTAATAAATCTTACACTGTATCACTGACCATCCCGTGAGAGCCTGATTTCTGATCCCTGCATGTGGGGCTGAGTTGGGCTTGGAGCATCTCTGCACACAGGGCAAAGAGGAGCTGCTGTCCCCAGGGCCACCTCCCTGTGACAGGCTCGGGGCAATGAGGAGTGATTGAAGCTCAAAAAGTGATGCCAGCAAACACCACGGGGAGGGGAAGGAGCAAGGGGAAGGCACCTGTGGTTGCAGCAGGAGAGGATGCACCTGTCGAGGAAGAAGCAAAAGCTCATCCTGTGCCCCCCACCCTGTTTGCAGAGCAGCACTTACTTGACCAGGGCAGGCAGCTCCGGGTTGAAGGAGATGTAGTCATGGCCCAAGCCCAAATTTTTGGGAAAGGTAATGAACTTCACCTTGGATTTGTCCTTGTAGGCACTGCGTGCTGTCTCATAGAGCTGCCGTGGGGTGGGAGTGTGGTTAGTGGCATGAGCAGGGGCTCCCAAAACCCCTCCTGGCACCCTGGGGGTGGCCACCTCCTCTCTGGCCACTTCAGCCAGGGTGGCTCTGGGCCTCACCTCGCGTCCCAGATGTGGAGGCAGGATACCATCATCTTCAGCATGCAGGATGAGGAGGGGGCAGGTCAGCACCTTCACACTGTGGGGAGCAAGCACAGCGCTAAGGACTTGCCCCAGAGCCAATAAAACCCCACAGTAGCCTCCCCAGCCCCTGCTAACACTCCCACACAGCACCCTGAATCCTTCAGCCTTTCAGAGCTATCCCAGCCCATCCATGGCACCGACGCTGGGTGCTCTGGCATGCCCACCTGGGTGATGCCCATGCTGCTTGCCCTGGCATGGCAGTACCAAGCACCCTAATTACCTTAAACCTCAATTAGCTGATGTTCAACTTGCAAAAGCACCCATAAATCGGGTGGCTGTTGGCACAGGCCATGTGTGCCACAAGGAGCGTGGCACTCCAGTGGGTCATTCCAAAAAAAAAAAGATGGTGGCTTGTGGACTTTGCTCAATGATTACACTGATAGCTGAAGTTATGCAAATAAAAAAGCACTTCTGAGGCATGAGTAAGCTGGGCAAACACAAAGAGGAGGGCAGAGATTTCATAGGGGTGACATAACACTTCTTCTTGTCCAGGTGGTCCCAGCATCATCCCTCCAATCCCCCAGGAGTGGCTGTGCTGCTTCCACCTAGGCACTCACTTCTCATCGCTGCGGAAGAACATGTTGCCCCGAGCCAGTGAGTCCAGGATGAGGTACTCAAAACCTGGGAACTGGCGGTAGATCTGCCAGGGAGAGAGTTTGGGGGTGCTAAGCCGTGGTTTGAATTCAACTGCAAGGGTGGAGAGACCCAAGTAGCTGGGGCTGATGCTGCTGGGGGACCCCGTGGGCACAGTCCCCCACCCATCACCATTGGGGGACCCCATGGACAGAACTCCCAGACTGACCTTGGTGATGGGGATGTGGGCAGCTGCTTCACGGATGTTGGTGTAGGGTGACTCCAGGACAACAGCATCAACCTGGACTCCTGAGGGCAGAGCAGCGTGAGAGAGGGCATGGTTGTGGGGGGCTGCCCTCCCTCCCCAGGCTGCTGCCATGCTCCCCTCCCAGGCAGCAGTGGGGACAAGATGTCCTCGTACTGTTAAGGAAGATGGGGAAAGCCACTTGTCCCCACCACAGGGACTGAGCCTGATGCTCAAGCAGAGAGTGGCCCTCGCTCTGTGGCCCCCAAAATCTGGCCAGGACTGTGCACAGCCCCAGAGGGACACTCTGTGGGGACAACCCATCCATGCTGGCCCTTACCTCGCTCCTCCTGCAGTCTCCTTGCTGCGTTGGTGGCAATCCTGTGAGGAGAGGTGACAATGAAGGGGACCAGCCATGATGCCCCAGCACTCTCACACCTTCCCTTGATGTCTGGGTTTAGTTTTTCAGATGCCTCCACCAAGGAGCTGCTCCAACCGCTTGGTCCACCCGTGGGTGGCACCAGTCTGGCAGCAGTGTCACAGCCTGGGGACCAGCTGTAGGCTCTGGTATTCCCCAGTCACTCAGCCCCACACCTACCCTGTCCCCAAGGAGTGTCCCCAGAACAGGATGCTGCTGTTTCTGCTCCGTGCTTTTGCCCAGTCGTAAAGTGCCAGGACATCCGTGGTGAAGCCACTCTCTGTGGGGTGTCCAGTGGAGTCTGCATAGCCTGTGAGGGACATGGCTCAGCATCACCACCTGGGGGGGACCAGCCCCAAGAGCGGGGTCACCCAGGAAGAGGCAGGGGGATGACTCTACCTCTGTAGTCGAGAGCCAGGACGTGGAAGCCAGCAGCCCCCATGGTCTGTCAGAGCAGCACTGTGTTATGTCCTGGGGCAGGGGGGGATGCACCCCAGGCCCCCCAGCATGGCCAGTTCACTCTGCCAAGGGTCCCTCTTGGGCCCTCAGAGCCAGCAGGAGCCCTACTCCCAGCAGATCCCAGTATCCCCACAGGGAACTTACCTTCAAGAACTGGACACGGTGGCTCGCGGCCCTGATGGGGAAAATGAGATTAGAGCTCAGGAGGACACCAGAGGACCCTCCCCACTAGCAGCAGTGCAGGTGAGGGACCAGGGTGACCTTCTCCTAGGAGCAGAGAGCTGGATGCTCTAGGGTGGTGGATTTTGACTTCTTTTGTCTCATAGGGGTTTTCCTTGACTGATGGGGTCAGAGACCACTGCAGCAGCCCCAGCCCTGCAGCACTGCTGGCTGCTGCATCCAGTTACCTACTTCTCACCTGAGAGCAGCCACTCCACCTGTCCTCCCCTGGTCCTGGCCCTGCGCCAGCACCCACAGGTACTCACCTGGTGCCCCCATTGCCATGCAGGTAGATGATCACAGGATGAGCATCACCAAGTGCCTCCTCATACCAGCGCTGGTCCTTGCCCAGTGCCTCGGTCCCTCTGCTGCCTGGCACCGTGTGCCTGGGGGCAGAGCAGGGTTACCCCAGGGGGTTCCTGCCACAACCCCAGGCTGTGCCTGCTTGGGATGCCAAGGCTGTCCCACTCACCAGATGCCCACTGTGACCCCTGGCTCGGTGGTGAGGTGCATGCTGATGGTGTTGTTCACCAGCAGCTCTGGACGCTGAAAGTCCGCGAAGAAGGGGAAAGCCACTGATGGAGAAACCACAGCCATCACACATCACCCAGAAACCCTCATACCCAACTGCCTATCACAGAATCATAGAATTTTCAGGGTTGGAATGGGCCTTACAGATCATCCAGCCCCAACCCCTGCCCTGGGCAGGGACACCTTCCACCAGAGCAGGTTGCTCAAGGCTTTAGCCAACCTGGCTTTGAACCCTGCCAGGGTTGGGGCAGCTGCTACGTCCTTGGGCAACCTGTGCCAGTGTCTCACCACCCTCATAGTAAAAAACTTTTTCCTAATATCTCATTGAAATCTCCTCTCTTTCAATTGGTACGCAGATTGTACCCAATTTTTATACATTTATTTCCAAATCACCATGTTACTGTTTGTAAATGATGGAGGGCAGGCAAGCTCAGCCCTCTGTCACCTCCTCCTGCCCAAATTTCCAGCCCTCTCATGCATGCCCAAGCGTGTTGTAACTTCAGGCAGTAAACAGGGTCTGCAACACCATATTATTAGAGCTTGCAAAACTCTGGGAAAGGTCCCTCCAAGCCTCCTTTGCAAGCCCACAGCACAGGGGGAGTTGGGTGGGTGCTGTCCCACACACCAGGCGTGGTCCTACACATGTTTTGGGGACATCCCACCAGCCAGCTGAACCCCTGTTGGGGTTCTCCCAGCTGGGACAGCCCCAGGGTACTCACAGAAGTTCAAGTAGACAAATTTGGTGAGCACACTGGGGAAGAGGCGGATGAGGAAGGGCAAGGAGACGTAGGTGAGGAGTGGGGCCAGGAGGAGGGTGCGCAGCCGGGGGAACCAGGAACGTTGGCTCCTGCAAGAAAGACACCTTGTTAGCACATCCCATCCTGCCCCAAGGGATTTGGCAGGCCACAGAGTAGGCTCCCCATTCCCAATCCTAGCTGTGATGGATACAGCAGGTTTTCCCCACAAGGGCCTGAGGCTGCTGTTTGTGTCCCCTTGGGATTGGGAACTGGATCTTCACCTGAGGTGTGTTTGGCTTTTAGGGATTGGACTCAAGGTGTTGGAGCAGCCCTACCATGACAGAGCATGATAGAGGCCATGATTTGGTCCCCCACACCTCCCACAGGACGCTGGGAGGCAGGAAGAGCAGCTTCCCACGGGATGCTGGCAGGCAGGCAGGGCAGGGCAGGGCACGTGCCAGGGCTGGGAGCTGCAAGCCAAACCGGCAATAAGGAGCAACCGATACTCTGCAGCAACACCCCCAGGCCTGGCTGCTGAGCTACAGTCACAGAGCTGTCCCCAAACCTGGCACCAGGAGCTTCTGCAACACTCCAGGGACATGGAGGAGACATGTGGCTTGGGGAGCCCACAGAGTGATGTCCCCCAGTGCCACCAGCATGGGGGGGGAGTGTGACCACCTACAATAGTGTCCTGCCCAGAGGGCTGGGGACACATCCAGCCACGCTGCAGCAATGAGACACAGCCCCAGTCTCCCAGAGGGAAGGGAAAGCCAAGAGCTGCAGCTTTCCCAGCATCAACCTCCCTTGTGGGCCACTGGTGCCAGGTGATGGGGAAACCAGTCTGGCTATCAGAGGATGTAGAGGAGAGGTTTCTTCCAGGCAGCCAGGCACAGCTCACTCCCTGCCAGCACATGCCCAGGGTCACCATCCATTCTGCAGAAGAGGATGGAGTCCATTCCATGGCCTGGGAAATGCTGCAAGATGCTAAGGAAGGGTTGCAAAAGGGGTGCCAGGGCAGGATGGCATCAGACCCCAGGGCACAGGCAATCTTCCCAGGAGGGTGCAGGGTGGCACAGGAGCTCCTCAAATCCCAATTGTTCCCGAGGACTATGGTCTGAGCAGTGCTGTTGCACATCAGCAAGGGGCCAGCCATGCCCTCCGATGCTGCAGGGAACTGTCAGGTGCTGCTCTTGATCTACACCTCATTCTCAAGTGCAGGAGGGGAGTGCTCACACCTGCCCTGGCACCACACCTGCTGCAGGTGAGCACTGACCCATCCGGACTGGAGAGACACCCAGGACATCAAAGGGCAGCTCTGACAGCTGGCCCAGCGACAGGCCACCACATGGCTTCAGGGGGACAGCAAGGTGACAACCACAGCATGGCATCACAGCACGGGGTCACAGCTGTGGCAGGGTGACAGAGGGACACAGCCAGGGCATGGGGTCACAGGGTGACAGAGGGACACAGCCACGGCACGGGGTCACAGCCGTGGCAGGGTGACATGGGAACACAGCCACAGGACAGGATCACATCGGAAACAGGGTGGCAGAGGGGGGAGACACAGGGTCATGGCCCAGGCGAGGTGACAGGATCACGGTGTGGGGACACAGGAGCATGGATATAGCGCGGGGTAACAGTGACAGCAGCGTGGCCAGGGCATAGGGACAGACCCACGGCA